GAAGAGTGATTGCTTGTCTCCTTGTGTTTTCTGCTGGTTTGATGTAAGTGACTATCTTCTCAGCTAATCTCACTGCAAACGCTATAGTTCTCTGCAACAGAAGAAGAAAAATGATAAACAACAATAGGTAGTCTCACATAAATATGATGAACTTGACATGATTTGAGAGATTAATATTGAATTGATGAGGCTCACTAGTCTTAAAGGCTCTATGTGAAAGATTGGCTCCATGAACATCTCTACATTTCTACATTGTTTTGGTTAAAAGATGGTCATGATCATGGGTTATAATCGGGATAAAAACTGAGTTTAGACCAGAATTGTTACTAACTTTATCAACAGCTTTCCCTGGTAGACATGGCAAATGTGGAAACTGAACCCCTTCCCTAATTGGATGTGTGGCTTCTCCCATTCTGCACATTACAGGTAAAACAGTTAGTGAGAAAAATCATTTCAATCAGACTGGTCAGTTCGGTTTGGTCTGGTGACATGGAAGACATGCTCCAGTTTGGTTTGGTGGAGAGCGTCTGAAGGGCTTTCGGTTGTTCTGGAGATTTGTTGAAGATGATCGGTTTGGATTTTAGGTTGTCAGTTAGCAAGGATTAAGGTTTTGGGACGAGGAGACTAACCGAGTTGCCATTGAACACCAATGGTCATGCCATCTTTGGACGTTGGTTTCACAATAATCTTGATATCTTTCCCCAGTTTCATCATCAACCAGTAGAAGAAAGCCATCACTTGCTGTCATTAAAAGACCATACCCTTGATTTATTTCTTTCGATTTCGACGACTATAAAAAACATGAGAAAAGTTCTTATGCTTACCTTCTTGCCTTGTAAGAGTCGGCAAGTGGATAAGAAATTGCAAAAGCATTGGCATTCATCCCCAATAACTTCTGAAATTCCATCAATATTTTGGTTCTTGATATCGTTGTACAGTTTTAGAACCGTCTCCTCCGCCCGGAAGTCCTCCTTTTCCTCTAGAAAGTCTTCTTCGTCGTCATCCTCTTCGAGTTTATCCAGAAAGTCATCCTCTTTCTCCTGCCTTTCCGATCCTAATTTTCTTGCCCTTGGATGATGCTTAAAAGTCTTTCGATTTCGTGAGTTTGGGAGGTCCCCTCGAAAACTTGGATTGACAGAACTCTTGGTTATGGTTGGGAATGAGAGAAAATTCTTTGCGGGTTTGGTGCATGAGCTAAATCTTTGTCTTCCTGCACATAGTTTAGACGAGACCGTTCGTGCAATAGACATACATTGGGATGTCATTGCTTATAAATTGGATTGGTTTTGCTGATTGCATAAAATTACAATACTTTATAAAAGTTTTGCGAAGAAAATATTCCTTTTGAGTTATTATAAAATAAGTAAAGTGAGGAAGAAACGAATCAATGCATGCTTTAGTTTGTTGGACAAAGCAAAGCGATAGAAGAATGCAACAAATGTGAGAAGATAAGAATATTTTAAATCCACAAGTTAACAAGGCCATAGATTGGTCATTAGAGTCATAAATTGGTTCTACCACAAACCAAGCAACAAAATCAAAATCAAAACCAAAATCCAAGAAAACTCAATTGCATAAAATGAATATATTCCCACATTAACCAACTAACTTCAGTCAGAGCCTTTGAAGAGGCTCTTCATCCCGTCATCCCGAGTAAAAATCCACAAAAATCCTTAGATCAAGAGCTTCTCTATAGCATCCTTGAGCTGCTCAATCTGTGACTTCAACCGGCTTCCATCGTTCGATAAAACTGAACAAGCGATCACAGGCCTTGTTACACCGCAAGGTCTTCCCACGCTTGTTGCGAAGGTACAAACACATACGGCACATTCTGGAGAT